GGTGATGTGTTTTCATGGAGGCGCATCTGTCCCATGGGACCCATGCTATAACTCGATGTGCGTGGGTAATGCAGGCAGTTGAGGCAAGTGCGGCCTCGCACGTCTTCAGTTTGGTATTCAGCTGGACACTGTAGCGATTCCACGCAGAGGCTTGCAACTGACCGAAGGTCTAGCTGGCTCCGGAGATCCTGTGCGCAACTTCGTCGTCGACTCTTGTGCTGCCTAAGTAGGTGAAATCATTCACGGTTTTAAGTTGCCTTTCGTTGACATTGATTAAATAGGTTGTCTGGTTCAGTGTTGACTGTCTATTGTTGCATGATCACTGTTTTATCCGTGTTGATTGTCAATTCGAAGTTGGCACAGAGGGTGGCGAAGGAGTCCACGCTGCTTTGCGTATCTCCTTCTGTCGTAGCTTTAGTTGCGCCGTCACTGCACTGTGGGTTGTGAACAGTAGTTTTGGATAGGGGTCTGCATGCGCCGACTATTAAGGTGATGGCCGGCTATCCATCGCAATTTACCTTGTCGAAGACTTTCGTCGGATTAACTTATGGATTCTACAGTTTGAACCGCATCTTCTGGCACTTCTGTTTTAATCGGTGGGTGATAAAGATGTCCCCGCAGTGTCTATGGAGGCCGTATTGACTTACTGGGTGCAGTCGCTGTTCTAGGCGACTACTAAGACTGTTAAGGAGGATAATTACAAAAATATTCCCGGCAATATTGAACACCAAGATTCCTCTGTGGTTACCACGCTGCTGCCGGTTCCCTTTCCGCTTGTAGAGATAGACGATGGTTGCGTCCTTGATATGCTTAAAAACTTGTCCGTGGCGGCACATCTGGAATATCGTTGTAAGTCTCCCCATCAGCCTGGGGCCGTCGCGCCTGTTGACTTCGGCCGGGATTCCGCCCGGAAGGCAGGAACTCCAGGTCATTGTTCACTTGGGGGGAAACAGTCGTTAGCAGTGTGGGAGATCGTAGATAGGTGGTTGAGGACATTTCTGCATTGCTCGACCTAACGCTTCAGAATTTCCAAATTTTCCGTTAGAAGTGTTGTGCCATCAGAGCGGAGCAGCGGCCCGGTTTCCCTTATGTAGGGCCCGTTGCCAGCTTTAATGTAGTGGAAGAAGTACTTCGTTTCGTTGCTGCCCTCGGCTTCTTCAGCCAGCCAGCCAACCACCCATGCATCTTGCATCTCCCAAAGCCATTGCTGCACAGGTTGGCGGCATCCTAACAAGCCCTCCTTGTTGGCGTCAGTCTGACGATTCATATAACCCTTCTGCAGTCTGTTCTCGACGCGTCAGTTGCTGATATCCGTGATATCGTCAAACGAGTCCTGTTGTTGACGGCATGCGCGCCCGAGGAATTTGATGACGGTGGACTGAATGACACTTCGCAGAACTCACCACTATGTCTCTACGGTGCCTTTATCATCTGAAGCCTGCAGGTTTTCCATTCGCTGGGCCATTTGATTGCTGAAAGAAACGTGCTAAAGATGCAAATTCAACGGAACAATCTTGAATCCACCTGGTGTTTTCCTATAAATCTGCAGTCGTATCTTCTTCTTGGAGATGATGCGGCGGTGCTCGGCTCAGACACCGACGTCGCAGATCCCCTTGGTCATTAGCACGTCTTGTTCACCAGGCCTATAGACGTGAACGTAGGCCATCAGGCATCAGTGCCGCGATCATGGATGTATCAACGTTGGCTCCTTCTGTGTTAGAAGATGTTTATCAGGAAAAATCGATGTTCCTCGCAGGTTCACAGAATAAGAATACCGCTGAAACCACGGGGACCCAATATTTTCTTCAAGGCAGCGTGGTCTGCCCTGACTTTGGCATTGAATTCGCCAAAGACAACTCGTTTGTCCGCTTTCGATACTGTCGCGTGGATGGCGTGTAGGTCATCATACAATTTGGTTTTCGTCTCATTAGAGCTGGTTATTAGGCGGTGTAGACGTTGATGACATTGGCTAATTCAGATTCTCGAGGATGGGGCTGCAAGTTCATTAATTGGTCGTTGATGCCTTGCGGCAGCGAAGTCCCACGACCTTCCGGATGGCAAACCTAATACCAGCAATGATAATTTTTTGAACGGCCATTGCAGAAGGTGTAGCCCGTATCCACCTCCTTCAGTTGGCCCTAGTCGCTGAGAGCCGAGGATGCAGGTATAGGTATAAAGGGAGGCCGTAGAAGTGCTAGTATCTTCGTTTTTCCTTTTTAGTGACCACTTTTCTGCGTTTTTTTCTCGGATTAGCATGCTCATATATTGCAGCTGGAATGAGTGGTATCATGCGCTTGGAGTTTGAAAGAAATCCCTTTTCTTTTTAGGAAAAATTGAATACCTTGGTAACGCGCGATGTGTTGGAATCTGCCCTCAGTCAAGTCGTTCCAGCTGCAAAGAACACGTCAGAGTTTGTCACTATCCCTGAGGTGACCTGGTCGGACGTGGGCGGTTTGGAGGAAACGAAAACACATCTCTATAACCGGTTTATGGTGAGTAACAGTCCCCAAGCAGATATCTTCCCTCCCCCCTCCACTCCCTTATGTCGAAATAATTGTCAATGTTCTCCTCTCTCTCACACGCAGCTTCTTGTGGACGACTGGGAACGCGCTCAAACTCTTCGTCGTCGTTCTGGTGGTGTTCTTCTTGAGGGACCGCCGGGTTGTGGCAAAACATTGATCGCCAAAGCCTTATCAAACACTGCTGGCCTTAACTTCCTCTCCGTCAAGGGGCCCGAAATAT